CATGCAATTAAAGTGTCTGCAAGGGCAGATGCAGATGACAGTAATTCATACTCTAAGAAATGGGCTTGTGTATTTGGCAGATTAACTGTTCTGTATTCCATTGCTATGAGGTATGGAAACTGTACTGTGAAACAACCATTACTCATTCCCTCTGCTCTGTGCACGTAGGTCTATCAAAGGCAAGCCAGTCTGGAGAGGGCGGGGGGTGAGCGCTGGAAAGAGAAGAGTCTACGTGTTTAAGATTAACGCTTCCCTTGAATGGCTTCTTTTATTTAATTTCCCCTACTTTTTAAATTAGCAAATGCAGTAGACCCAGAAGGGAAACGCGCAAAGGAGAGAGGGAGAGGGGAAGAAGCAAAAGCAGCCAAAACTCTCCAACTTGTTCATTAGGGTTTTTGTGTTTGAACATCTGAATGAATCATGTGTCTGTTTTTCATTATTCTCCATATGTGATTGTTGCCTGCTTTGTTCAGTGATTTCTGGCCATTTTGTCATGACTGTGCTTATTTTGTTTTATATATTGTTCTATTACACAGAGATTGTTTTTTCTACTATGCCTCACTTAGCATTTATGCCACCAACAAAGAGTAATCTTAAAATGAGAGGTTACGTCAAAAGGTTTCCCTAGTGAACTCCCTTGAAGCATATATGATTTCTTTAGACCCGACTCCTTAATTCATACCAGGCAAAAATCCTCAGATGACACTATTCCTTAGCATGCCAGGAATGTCGCAGGTATCATTTTAAAAATAGGAATGAGGAATACTGGAGAATGACTTAAAGTCCATTTTTTTCAGAGTGTTTTCTTCATTTGTTGAAGGGGAAACCTAACGCTTTTTACTAGCCAGCAACCTATTTTAACAGATCTGCACATTGATACAGACGGTACTTCAAATCATTGCGTAATTATATTCACTAGTTTACATTTTCAGATCTCCTCTATACCTTGGACAAAACACAAATGAGGTTGAAATAAATTTTGAAATCTCTAATCACGTGATTGCTTCTATCTTCTACTTAAATGTAATCCACCCTACTGCACTGTGTAAACATTGCAGAATGATGTGTTCATTTAACAGGATAGCTCATACTTTAAGAGAGATGAGTGATAGCCAAAAGACTGGAAAGGAGCCAACAAAATGCCTGTTGATTCTTTGTTTGCTTTAAAGGTCTGGATGCAGGCACAAGTGAATTAGAGACACTCAAGATAGTTTCAACTTCTGGAAAAATACTAGAACAAATAGTACATAAATCTATTCACAGAGCCTCACAGGCATAATGTGATGAGTACCCCATGTAATGATAAGCAAGAGTAAATAATATCATATTGTACCTCCATCTAAACACAGGCGATTAGTCTCATGGATAAGGAAGTACCATATATTTTAATTAAACCTTGATTGTCTCTCATAACAGGAACAGACAGGAGAAATACGACCTGTCTAGAAGTCCTGTGACATAGGTGCCAAACTGATTGGCACATCCAATTTTAAAAGTTCTCAACGGCTCACTGTTAAACTACCTGGTATACCAAGACGGTTTCCTCTATAGTCTCTCTCAGGTCTGTTATTACTCAGTCTTTTCCAAATTATCTTGTCCAGTGGATTAGAGAAATCATTTATTAACTGTGAAGAGGATACTAAAGAGGTAAGTGCTGCAAGCACTCTGGAGACTTAAGATTTGAGAATAATCTTAGCAAATTAAGGAGTAGCCGGGAAAAAAATACGATAAAATTCAATACAGACAAATGAAAAGTACTAGCCTTAGGAGGGAATAATCAACAGCACAAAGCAGAGCACACAATAAGGAATGCCTGGCTGGCAGCAGCACCGGAGAAGAGAATAACAGAACCACGGGGCTGCTGAGAATCTCTTCGCATAAATCAACACTGTTGTTCTCACACAACACCCTCAAAAATCTATCTATACTTTAAATATAAGTAGCTATTTACATGTATAAATAAACAGGAGAGCCACGCAATCACAGAGAAGACAAATTAAATAACTTCTCCACACTATTTAAAATGGTCGGATTCAGGCTGTCTGACATTCCGTGCCCGGCTCTAAGGACTTCAGATTAGAGTGAACTAATTAGGGAGACCGATGCAGTGCAATATAATCAGAAACTGGAAACAGATTGCCTCTAAGGAAGGAGAGAAAGGACCAATGTTCAGCCTAAAGAAAAGCTGGGACAGAGGCATAGCAGTCTTCAAATATATGTGTTTACTGTAAAGAGGAAAGGATGACCCGCTCTGCATATTCACCGGGGATAAGAAAAGAAGCGACAGGCTTTAACTGCACAAAGGGAGATGTGGTTTAGACACTAAGAAACACTTTGCTATAGCGAAGACAGCAAGCACTATTGCAGATTGCCTGAGGAGCTGGTGGAATCTCCACTGCTGGAAGCCTTTGAGCACAGGTGAGACAAACATCCATCAGCGGTGGCTTACGTAGTGCTGATCCTGGCCTGAGGCAGAGGAACAGACCAGACGACCTCTTCAGGGCCCTTCCAGTTCTGATGCCTGTCAGACTTTTTTTTTTTTTTTTCCCCAGCAATCTTGCTAGAGGAAGGAAATCGTACCCAAGAAGCAAAACATCTATTCTTTTTATGCCACAAAGCATACTGTTAATAAATCCAATTATGTTTATGATCTTTTAATGGCACCACTTATGTCATAAAGATCCATCTTTATAAATACAAATAAATATATCTCTCTGCCCTACAGTGTAAAAACACAGCATGAAACCAAACTTTTACAAAATTCCAACTCACTGGTACATAGCCCCTACTACAATAACATCAAAACAGACTACAACATAAAAAACACCAAACCAAGACATCTGTCTTTCTCAAAATGTTACCATTCATGCTATTTACAATGTTTTCACTTCACATTTTTGTATTTTGCAAGTACATCCATGTCTTTTCTTATTTCCACTGGCAACAGGAATGGAAAGAAGTCCAGATCACGGGACAACATGTGTTTGGGAGTGGTTACCAGTCAACAAGCCTGCTTCCACCAGATTCACTGATTCATTCCACCAGCTTTTAGCCACCTAGCTGAATCATCTATAGTGAGAGCAGAGTGGTCTCAGACAACCAAGATCAGCAGAGAGAAACACATTTCTCTTTTCCACAGACTTCATTTATTTATTCAACACATTTACAGCCCAATTCAAATTCAACTCCATACGTGTGGTTTGTGTTGCCATTTATTTAAGACAAAAATTTAAGATAAAAGCTGAAAAAATGATGGAGTTGACCCATGAGAGAACATCTCAGTCTTGCTCTATGGTGGGAACAGGGAAATACAACATTTCTGTCTTAGCTGGAGTGTGGGACAATGAAGAGTGACCCGGCCTTACTCCAACCTACCTGATCATGGACTTCTTCTTTTTTTTTTCTTTTTTTTTTCTTTTTTTTTTTCCTTTTTTTTTTTTTTTAACCCCTGACACCAGCAAATCAGGTCCCTGCAGCTCCCTTAGTCCTAAACCCCAATTTCTTCCTACACCAGGGTCTCATCCCAAACCACCGCTATCCCAAAGCCTATCATATCTAACCATACTCCTGCTCATCGTAGCACTCTTCTTCCTTGTCAAACCAGCTTAGGGCCGTTTTGATCCACTCAGCCCTTTTGTAGCTCTGTCACTTTGCAAATCCTCCTCTCTCTACAGGTCACAGCACCCTGCCTCCAAAACTCAAGCCCCCCAGTGGCAGATACATCCATCTCCTCCTGGCTCTGAAACTGCTGCTGTCACCTCTGTAGGCCCCCACCCCAGGCCTTCTGCACTTGGCCAAACCCATCCTTCCATGCGGGTATTCCTCAGTAAAACAAACTAAATGAAAAACAAACAAAAAATCTGGTTCCCAGTGTTTTTCAAAGATATACGGTCAGAGCGATGTTATTATATATAAAAAAAAATAAGTCCAACCAAAGCAAATGCATGGTAGTGCCACTTCTGATGATGGCTCATGAACTATTAGGCTGATGGAGCTTTCCAAGACTTGCACTGCAATCTTACAACCTACTTTTTTTTTTTTTTGAGTAGCTAATGAATGCTGCCGCTGGCATGCAAGAGATAAAGACACACACTTCTCCAAACATCAATAACATCTTTGGTATAGCTGAAAGGATTTTGCACTTTCTCAACATTTTCCCACATATCTTTCTCTCCTGCTTCTCTTCAAACCCTATCTTGCCACCAGTGAGATATTTCTGTATGCAGTGCTTTTAGTAACTCATACAGAAATGCTGTCCAGAATGCACTTCTTATGAGAAGAAGCCACTTCAGTAGATCCTATTACTCCGAAAGGATTCTGAATATCACTAGTATAAAGTGGCAAACATTTTAAAGCAGAGGTTCCCACCACATACTTGATTGCTCTTCAGAGTGTTAAATGAATAACTAATATAATTCTATACATTAGCCAACATTTATCTATGCAGATTTAGCCATACATAGACACACATAAAAATATGAAATCTGCAATATTTCACTAAAAAAGTTATGAATGTAAAACTGGAAGAGGAATCACTTTCACCATATCTCATATCATGCCTTTGTATTGCAACAACTATCTATTTGTGTCATAAAGAATATTTTCTTCTTCTGACAGTGTAGGCCAAGACTTCACAGAAAAAAAAAAAATAAACCAGGTTTTGCTTGGGAAAATTTTTGTTTTTATATAGGAAATCAATTTGCATCACTGATGATATCATTCAAATCAGACGGTACTATGTGGTTAGAAGGTAATTTACTTTTCTGCCGAAGCAATTTGATACTTGTTCTGATTTGTGATTTTCATTTTGTTTGTTAATGAAAAAAATTAATGAGCAATGTTACTGGAAACACGACTCAAAGCTTTGGCATTATTAAATATGTTTGCAATATACCGTACATTATGTTGATTGCACAGTTGGAGCCAAGGCCTTGGCAGTCAAGCCACCAGTCAATCATTCAGACAGACAATGAACTCACAGGGCAGACTTTTACACATACCTTTGCACTGATTTGTGTTTTTGTCAAGAATTGCCTTTGTGGATACAATTTTCCCATACCTAAAGAGAAAACAAAGAACAGAAATACATGTTATTGCGTTTTAATAACATACATAATTATTTTTGCACATATCCAAGAAAGAGATATAGTGCTCTTGAAGAATGTTTCCCTGATACTTCTGGAGAGGTTCCTTCTTCCACTGCAGTTCAACAAACACCTTTAGAGTTCATCTGAAAAGCACCGCTCCTTTGCCATAGCCTGTCTACCTCTGGTCACTGCTCTGTACTGCCAGTGTAAATGCCAAATACAGGGGAAATTTTAGGTCATCAGCACTACTAAAGACGCTTCTTTGGTTAAGTTAATTAGGCTTGCTTAAAAATATTTTTTCATTCTTAGCTGTCAAACAAGATTAATTTTAATAGAGATGGACCAGATCCAGGATTAACAACGAGGAGGAGGTACGGTCATTTATTTATGTGCATGCACACACACACAGACATAACTGTGCTCGGCTCTGCATTCACACATTCACACACACACCCTAGACAGATAGATTTAGATTTAGATTTAGCTTTTGTTTTAGATAGACCAAAGCTTTTGAGGTTTTTATGCATCTCCTAGCTCTTTTCCAAGACGAGTGCTAATTCTTATTTTAGTATGTGACACCTCCCATAAGACAGCACTGAACTGCACTACAACTTGATAGACTTGGCATGATTAAAAGGGAGTTTGGGCAGTTACAATTTGTTGCATTAAGCAATTAGACCATAAAACAGCTATTTGTCTTTACCTTGCAGAAGTTTAAACTTCAAATGCCAATTTAATGGTCAGTGTCAGTAAGAGCTGGTGAAAGATTACAGAAGAGGGCCATTTACGGATGAATATAACACCTTAAGAGAATGGGGAAATTAGTTTTATTCCTCAAGTCACTGGTATGTCTTGGTCTCTCTTGGGTGGGAGGAATGGGAGAAAAGCCTCCTTCCCCTTACCTGCCCAGTTGGCTCCCTAGACAGAGAGGATCTTGTGCTCTGCAAGCAGACCCAATGCAACACACCCCCCACCATGATGGGGACATGGGCAGGTAGCTGTGGGGTCTGTTTTGCCACAGCTGGCTCTAATCCAAGAGGAGTGGATACCTAAAGCAGGTTTAATGTTCACCATGAGATCACATGCTTTTCTAAGCTCAGGTGTTTTCAGAATTGGGGCCTTCGTATTCACTTATGTTCCACTTAGTTTTATAATTCTTCATGGTAATACCTGGAGTTGACTTTGGCCTCAAAGACGTTAGAGCACATATCTCAAGCAGGCACGGCCAAATTCTCTGCCAGTGTGATTTACAGTTGCTCAGTGGGCAGCTTACCCAGCAGGAAGTTTGGCCTGTGCAGTGCATCTTCATTTATTTGATTTATTTAGATTTAAAATCAAATACATGAAAAACATGCAAAAACACGCCTATCTCATACAGCAAAGGGCCTCTGACAGATATATGGAGAAAGAATCCAACAAAAATCAACGGCTAACCCACAACAACCTCAAATAAAACACAACCCCTACCTAAACTTCCGCCAACAAAAACTAACACCCAGCCTCCATTTCAGTTCAGCTACTCCTAATGAATTGATATGTTGTTTCATCCAAGTCATGTGAGAGCTCAAAGTTAACATTTCTTGCCAGCAAAGACAGACATTTGTGGTTCCACTGCTTTTATTACAGATTTCCCAGAGTTATTTGCCGCGTACTGTGATCCTGCACACACTTCGTTACACTGGAGATTTCAGTCTGAGAAGCAATTCTGTTCAGGCCAGAAGCTTCCTCCAGCACGTACAGCTAGATGCACACCGACGTGTTTGCAAAACCAGGCATCTGAGCAGCGAGAGGTGCCACAATAACAAACACCGTTATAGGCAATTAGCCACATGCAGCCGATTTCATCGGCCGCTATAAACCTCCAGCTCTGCCACAGTAAAGTCATTGGAATTAATTTGGACACTGTTTTCCTAAATATTTCAAGTGAAGGATTTTACAGTAATCAGAACATCAGTTCTGATGAAGAATGTTAGCTTGTGTTTTGCATTAAGTCAGGAACATATTTTGTTCCTACAAACGTAGTCGTGTTTCTTGCACATGTATAGATGGGTATCAAGTTATGTTGCCCCTCCAAAGTTGATGTCTCTTCGTTTGCGTGAGCCTTAACTGTGCTTTCATTCACACAGAAGCAAAAAAACAAGTATTCTTCCATGAGAATGCCCACAGAAATAACAATAAACCACATCGCAAGCGACAGCTCCTTTTCTTGTATTTAAATGGAAACTACTATAAAATCCAACAGCCTGCACAAACGATATCATTAATGTAAAAAATACTAGGTATGGTTTGCATGTCATGGGAGAACATGAGCACTACCTAATTTCCTCCTGAATTACGGTGCATGAAGGTATTCTTTCAAAGATCTTGAATCAAAAAAAAAAAAAATCGGGTCGGTAAAAGATAATTGTGGAATCGAGTTCATCTCAATGCCTTATTATCAACCTTTAACCATTATGACTGTATCATTAAGGATAACCTACTGCATCACGGTATCCAAGGTAAGAGAAGTTATGAATCTGTGAGACTGCTACCTCAAAAATGTGTCTACTGCACCTCTGAACCAAAATTTTTATTCAGAAGATTCCCAGACAGATGCGTTGTTTTTCATTACATTCTTCCCCATTATTTAAATGTGCAGTAACCTCAAATAAAATTATTTTCATCCTGTTTTGAAAAATCCTTTTAATTCCCTGTATTGAATGATGTTTTTAATGTTTTCTGCATGTAATAATTTTCATTTAAAACTTTGTGGTCAGGGACTTGAAAGACCTTCCATGTCAGAGGCAAATATATACACTAGGACTTCAGCTCATTAAAGAAGGACCCATGCAGTGAGACTATGACTAGGTGTTTTCATTGTTCCTCAAAATATACATGTATATAAGGACTGACAAGACAATTACATGACGGACAGTTTAAAAACTGCAGAATTCATGGCTACAGAAAGTGCTGGTGCCCCACAAAATGCATCTCTACAGAAAGCTATTAGATGGGTTCTAGGCTGTTAGATCTGTCACCAAATTACACAAAGGCATGTTTGTGGCCCTGGAAGCCACCTAACCCTAAAAGCTGGAAGAGGGTGTCAGGGAAGTATCTTGACATCCAGTCCCCATATTAACATCTGGCACCTTAGAACTGCTGAAATAAATTCCTGGTCTGATCTAGCCTAACTTCTTATATTCCACGAGAACTGTAACTTGGAGGGTTCTTATATAGGTTCTTAATAGCTTCTTAGGAACATGAAGATTTCTACCACTTCCTGTATATACCAGTTCAGGGCAAAACCATTCAAGTTGCCGATATCCACTGTTCAAATTACAAATGTCACTTAAAAACACTTCATCCACCAATGACACGCACCTTGTTACACCGTGGGTGGCAATAAGGGGAAAACACACTCTGCTGTGGTGCAGAGAGAAACAAGTCTCCCTGTGCAGCTCTCCAGAGCCCCATCCCATTGCAGCCCACATTTCCCAAGTACTCAGCAGGTTCTGGGAAGATGCAAGCAATGCAGAATAAACCCTGAACATGCATCAGAGCTGCAGTACAAATAGATCACTTGAAGAGCCTTGCAGGCAGGCGGTCGATCAGCACTTAGGCTGCAGACAAAGCTCAACCGTTCGTTCCTGGGAAGTTATTTGATAACTGCTGTTAAAATGGAGAGAGTTCCTGGAGGAAGCACTTGAGCTGTAAGTGATACCACTTGCAAGATGCGGGAACCTTTCCCATTGCGCTGATTCTGAACTGATGGCAGAAGTATTTCTACGCTGTCCTTCAAGCCAGCTTTCAGGCTGGCCATGGATGGTCCTGTAACACGAAATGGCTGTCGGACCAGACAAGCCATGTCCCTCACCCAACTTGGACCACAGCTATGCCGCCCTTCGTGTCCATCCAACCTGGGTGGCAGGCACACAGGCACCTACCTATCACCACTTTTCCCCCATTCTGGTTATTACTCCTGTGTTTTAAATAAACGTGAAACTTGTGATTTCAACACCAGTAACCTCTTAACCTTGCTTGGTTAAGCCAAAGGAGCTGCCATGTAATTTCCAAGTTGGGAGCTTACTAATTATATCCGTGACATTAGGGTTCACCCAAAGCCCCACGTGTTACTCAAAGCACAATTCACCCAGCTGAAAACAGCCTGAATTTCTATGCATTTAGGTAATATATGCTTTTATCTCCGGAACTTTTGTACCGGGATGAATTTGACCAGCAGTAATTGGATTTAGATAAGCAACTCTGAGACTCTTTCATTCTTGTGAATGAATATATAAATAGCGTAACTGGGTTTATTTTGTTTAAAAGCAGACTCTATTAGGAAAATCGTGGATTTCTGTAAAAAAAGAAAAAGCCCACATGAAAGCCTAAAATACAGAAGGAATTGCTACTGTGTTTCATTGAGAGATGTTATTCGTATAACACACTCCCACATGCACCGAAGACATCCAAATGCATACAGAAGGGAAATTCACTCAGAAAAAGTTCTGATTTGCATGATCATTTGGGGGGCATTTTTTTTCTCCTAAATACAACACGTACAATTCTATGCATTAACAAAGACTTGGCAGGTTTGTTATTTTTCTGTACATTACTTTTATACTTTTTGTAAAGGACAAGTTAAAAACAACCTCTCTTTTTATTCACAGAAATATGAAACGACTAAATTCATACCATTCAGAGCACCCTCTATTTCACTGACCAGCATATGGCTTGGGGAATAAACAGGGGACAGTGGTTGCAGAGAGCCTACAGTGTAGTGGATTAATAAAGACTGTGCTTCTGTCCACAAAAATACAAGTCTAACTCTCGCCTTCACTTCTTTCAGTCTGGCTGTCAAGTTTATAAAAATCATTCCTTTGATGACTCTAATACAAGTCACTAAAGCAATTTAGAGTAACAACTTGTCTAAGAGTTTCAAAAAGACCAGAAAAAAATGGGGTGTCTCAGATTGCTTGGTTGTAGGTCTAAA